AGATTGTAGATCAATGGAATGAACTCCAATGGCCATTGTTATAGACTATGGAGATCAGATGAAAACTCTTTTTACCAAAGACTATTTATATTTTTAAAAAAACACCAAAAAATCATATTCCAGTGTGGGGGAACACAGAATCTTATGCATATTCCATTAGAAATCAATTTTTTTAATTGAATAAAAAGATAAAAAAACACTAATTAAAAAGTTAATAATAATTGACAATTTGATTTTTGTGTTTAGTAAAATAAAAAAAAATCATATTTTGATCCACCCTAATATAAAACCAGAATGATTTTCTAATGGCATCAGGTTACCAGTTTGTTATTGGAGTCATCAATGTGTTGTAGTGTTTTCTGATTTGATTTATTTATGTGAAATAATCAATGAAATATTGTGGTTGCATGAGTTTTTAACAAGATGACAGTGCTGTTGGTTGCATACAATGTAACACATGGTTTGTTTGTTTTTATTTTAATTTTTCAAAAAGTCATAGTCCCTAAAAAAGCGAGAAAATGCCACTCTTTTGTTCTGTTATTTCTTTTTTCACTAATATTAAATTTAATTGAAAATCATTGTTGAGAGAAAGGATTTCAAAAAAGAAAAAAAATTTTAGGATACAACGATGATGATTGATGTTTCATTTAAATTTGAATTTTTTGTAGTCTAAAGGAAAGCATCAAGTTAAGAGAGTTAAACAAATTAAAAAGTAAAATTGAAGAAATTATTAAATATTTTATTATAATAGTCACATTTAGCATTTTGTTCAGTAAAAAAATGATTTAAATAAGCTACCAATCTAGTACTAAATTTAAATTCATGTACTTTTAAGAACTTTATGTATCATAAAGTCAAAATCATAAAAATATTTATAGGAAAGGCACAGTACCTTGCTTAACTTAAGCTGAGAATGCTTTAAAAAGGATCATTTTTTAATTTTGCAGATTATTCTTTGGATTTTGTCAAGAATCTCAAGAACCTATCATAAAAATCAAACCATGCCAGATTTAGCAGCAATATTCAAAAAGTAATATTAGCCATTTGCCTACAAGAAAGTATTTGGCATTCATTAACAGAGCAGGTAATACTGTTTGGGTATTAAATTTATAAAATCTTTCTCTTGAATTTTCCAAAAGGAAAACAGGTTTCTCAAGTCCAGTAGCTTTTTACTCTTTCCAGTATTTTTAGGGGTTTCCTTCTAACCTTTTATTTGAAAATTTTGGAACATCAACATCTTCATTACTTCATTATTTTCTCTTTGAGTTACATATGCTATCCATTTTAGTTGTTGTTGATATATTTTCCTAAATTTTTAAGATTGCTGAGTACTTAAAGATTATCTAAAGAACGTGCTCACATTATATTCACCAATTATGTTCTACAAATAAAGCTCCTGTAGAATAACATTAGATAAATAATCTAATGCTGTTAAAAGGTCAACATCTTAAAAATACCTGTTAAGAGGTTAAAAAAATATCATTTCTAATATATTTTAAACTAATGTGCAAATAATATTTGTTTCAAATCAGATTAATTATATTTTAAATGAGTTAATATTCCTCAAATAAAGTTTCAGAAAAGTATATTTTATTTTTGGAAGATTTTTAATAAAGAGAATTACATTCTGATGACAGATCACTAAAAATGGTGCTAAAATAAAAAATTTCAGCAATTTTTAAACAAAAACTCCTTCCAGTCAATTTAAATTAGTTTTGAAATATAAATAAAGTATTTTTCTTATTGGAAATGTTAAATATAATCTATTAGCTTGGAAGTAAGACTAAAATAAAAACCTTAAGAAAGATTTTTCATTTTTAAAAATTCATTTTAAATCTTAGTTATTACAAATGTGTAGAGGTACCTAAACTAATATGAATATATGATTCTGTTAGACATAAAATGGGGACCGATTTTATATTACTATCAATTAATAAATCAATCCACCAAAATTACTTAAGTGATGTGGTTTCTATTGATATAATTCTTTGTGATTCTGTGGCACTAATTCACAAGGTTCAAAACAGGATGGTCCTTGCTAAGAACATCAGGCTTCACTTGCTCAAAGCCTTTTTTCACTATTAATCTTAGGAAGCGGTTGTATACAGCTGACAGTTTAGATATTTTTGAATGGGTTTGGGGCCATGCATATGAAAGTCTTGATCTGACAAGGCTATTTAAGAACATAACTCCAATTTTCAGGTTGATGATTTGATTTGGTAGTAATTTATGGTATTGAGTGAAACTGCTGGCTCAGCCTATTCTATATTCAATTCTTTTTCTCCTCTACTTAATTTGTTATAGTTGATCCATATTCCAAGGTATCTGAAGTATTTTACTAATTCCACATCCTGAATTTTTATGACAGATTTGGGATAGATGTCATTCCTGCTTTCATTTCAATTCCAGGTCATAGTTTCTGTTTTAGAAAGGTTTATCTTGTGTCCTATTTCTTGGAACACTTGATAGAGCATGCTGACTTTCTGTTCATTCTTATCCCAACTATGAATACCTATGTCATCAGCATAGACCCCTCTGCCCTCAACATCAATACATTGACCTCGGGAGGGAAAGCAGGATCAATGTGTCTTTTATTGATAGACTTGTTTTTATTTAAGACATTGATTAATATCAAAATGAGATTGTGATTGACAAATGAAAATACAGTTTAGGCAATAATGGCTGACAATTTTTTTGATGGTGTTATATAATCCAGCTGCTGACATCAATCTTAAAAGAGTGCAATTGTTTAATTCATATGTTACTTTAAAGCAGAGATCTTAAAGATACAAAGGGGCCATTATGTGCTGAAAGAATAGTACAGTGGGTAAGAATGTATGTTGCCTGGAGATTACTGATAGGAAGGGCTTGATATGGTGTAATGGTTAGCAAACTTGTCTCGCTACACCAATTACATCTGAGTAGTGAGTTTGATCCTCACTAGGTGCTTGGTAGACTAGGTAGGGCAATCCCAACAAACTGATACCTGTTGTTATTAGCTTTCTTAAACATTCACCCAATACTTATAGGAAAGCAATGAAAGGTTTTGTACCTTGTTATTAGTTTGCCAAGTCTGTTAATAGGTTATAAACAAGTTGGTGCTATAACTTGACAAACAGGTTACTTGTTGAGATAGAATTTCACTTAAAACATGATTTAAATTAGAATATGGTGGAAAGAAGTTAATTTGATGTGATCATATTGGTCTTTTTTTATATGGGCCAACTGTGATTTTGACCCTTGCTTAGCCAAATTGATAACATATTCTTTTTGTATAGAGGAGAAAATTACTTACATTTTATCACAACTGTCAAGATATGACAGTAATATATTTTCTGCATGAGTAAACTAGAATTTTTATCTATAAAATTAACTCTCTTGAAAGAATTCTATTTTTTGAATCATTAAAAGTAAAAATATCCAAAGAAAGCAAACAGGACTTGTTCTGTCAAAACATGACAGCCATATTTAATTAATTTTGTAATTGTATCAGTTATATTTTTTGCAAGAGTAATTGGCAGTTCTTATTTATATAATAAACTCTATTGTCATATGTACAAAGAATTCTGCTTAGTAAATCATGAAAAGTAAAAATATTCAAGAAAAAATGACCCTGACCCATACTAACAAAAACACGACATGGTCCATTCCATCAAAATATGACGGCCATATTTAAGTAATTTTGCAATTGCAGTGGCTATATTTTCTGCATGAGGAATCAAGGATTTTTTTTGTCTTTACAATTATCTCCATTGTCATATTTAAGAAAGAATTATGCTTTTTAATTCATGGAAACTAAATATCCAAAGAATGCTAACACAAAACAAAAAGAATAAAAAAAAAAAAACAATATATAAGTTGACATCAAATCTTACTAATAAGATATACCATTGTTATAGAAACATGAGTTATGTTTGTCAATTGGCAGTGAGTAATGCTTTCTCTTAACATGCTAATCTTATTACTAAAAAGGGAAGATCAGGCTGTGTGTCCAATAAATATATAAAGTTACATATCCAAAGTTAACATGGTCCATTCAATCAAAATATGACAGCCATATTTAAGTAATTTTGCAATTGCATTTGTTGAATGTTTTGCATGAATAATTTTGGATTTTAACTTGTATAAAAAACTCTATTGTCTTTTCTAAGAAAGAATTTGGTATTTTAAATCATTAAAAGTAAAAATATCCCTCCAAAAAATAACTAGACCGGTACTCTCAAAAAATATCAGACATTTAATTTTGCAATTGCACTGGTTTTATTTTCTGCATGTCAAAGAACGAATATTTTCTATGAAAATTTCTCGGACATTCAGGCCGGTAAATGTTATTTAATACTGTTTATCATAAACAGAGCATTTGCTTAAATACTTGTATCTATAAATAACAACGTTAAACATAAAAATGTCTTTAATATATATATATATATATATATATCAACTGATGATTAGTCAGGATAAAAAAGAGCTCAGTATAAGAATAGTGCAATATAATAATGATGAATACAGTCAAAAATCCTATTTGTTGGCCATAAAACAGAAATACTTGGGCACCTCCATATGGTGTAATGGTTATCAAGCTTGTTTTGCTAGAACAATTACAACTGAGTAGTGAGTTCAATCCTCACTGGGTGTCTCATACTTGAGTCTTGTGTCACATCTAATTTAAACTTAGAAAATCACCATAAAGCAGAAACAGTTCAGATTGAGATAAAATCACACTTTCTTCATCTATGTTAGTGTCCCAAATTTAGTGTCATAGTGATAAACTAATGTCAAAAATGTTTTGGTAGATTTATATTTAAAATATTTGAAAAATGGCTGAACCATAATTGAACCAAATGTTGAAATTTAATTGAGTTGTATTTGTTTCTTTATCAAATGTTTATAATCACCAAATTGTCTTTTTGTGTTTCAGAATCAAGGACACCTTACTTGTCCCCTTTGACCACTGCTTTGGCTGGGTCCCTCCTAATGACGGTTATGGCGTGAGAGATCTGATGCACTATGATTGTCCACTTCAAAACATCAAAGATCCTCTTCGGCAGAGAGGACTACTCATGTCAACTCGTCGATTTCTACGTCATTGTCAATATCAGCAATTTGAAGATCTCATTAGAAGTTTGACGCAATGTGACAGGGTAAGAAAAGTCAAGGAACATCGTTTTTGATCTTTTAGTGAAATGACGATTGTCATGAATTCAAAGTCTGTGAATAGCAGTTTAAAGCTGCAAAATGACTCATTCTTTTTCATTTTTCTATAAGTTGAATTGGCAAACCAATTTCAAATTCCAATCACTCTATCACTAAACTGATGTGACTTCCCTCTTAGGTAGGTCAGCTGCTCTTGAAAAGGACCTCTAATCAGTGGCTAACTGAGACAAGAAATGGCTTGTAAATTTTAATGCCTCCTAAACAAACCTGCTTTCATTTAATCACCACAGAGAACCTTTTCTACCTGCCATCAACATGGCTGACACTAAATTTCAGGAGAGCAACACACTAGGCTTTCTTGGCCTCACATTTTCAACTGACATGAAGTGGAGCAACTATATCAAATCAATAGCTACATCTACTGCAAGCAAAGTTGGGTCACTGTGTCATGTCAGAAAACTTTTCTCATCAGAATCCATCTTGTACTTTTACAAATCTACCATTCGTCTATGCCTTGAATATTGTTGCCATATCTGGTCTGGTGTTCCTGCTGTGTATCTTGAGATTCTTAACAAAATCCAAAGAACAGCCTGTTATATAATCGGTCCTGACCAGGCATCTCAGCTTCAGTCACTTGTAACTTGGCTTCTGTCTTTTCTACAAATATTTTCATGACAACTGCTCTGACAAGCCTTTTCCTCTCATGTCCAAAATACATGAACTTAAGCGTGCTACTAAATTGGCATCTTGCTCTCACTTATTTACTGTTAGGCTAGTTAAATGCAACCACCACTTTTACTCCAACAGTTTCTTTTCTCGCACTTCCTACCTGTGGAACTCCTTTCCATTTCCTTGCTTCCCTGATAACTACAATCTTCAAAAATTCAAATGCAACATCAATTGCTATCTCCTGTCTTCTTGAACCCCATTCACCTTTTGTCCTTTTCTCCATCCTCCCTATTCTTGGTTCTGGTTCCTGTACAATCACCAAAGTTAAGTAACACTGCTTGGGAATACCAGGTGTTGTAAGCTTGGATGTGCTGGTAGTGTAATGCGCTTACGGCCATATCATGTAACATTGTTTCCCATATGATGACACAAGTTAAGCAACGTTGAGTCTGGTCAGTACCTAGATGGGTGACTGCTTGGGAATATGAGATGCTGTAAGCTTTGGTGTGCAGGTGATGTAGTGGATAACAGCTTAGCATTGGAAATTGAAGAGCTGAGTTCCAATTCCAGTTGGGTTCATTATATTCACTTATATACAAATACCCTTTGGAAAAGTATGAATCCATCTCTTTCCTCCAGCTATTCCTGGCTTTAAATAACCTGCAAAGGTTGATAATCTGTATCTTATCTCTGATTGTGACCCAGTTATTCCCATTTAGTCTCCTGTTTTTTTTTTATGCAGTTTCTTTGTCATTAATGGGTTAATTATTCAGACTTGTATCAGTAAATCATTATTATCTTGAAAAGATTCTTACAGTCTAAAAATATTTTTTGGTTTTAAATAACTTGCAAAAGGGTTGATAAACTGTAAAAAAACAAAATCCTTTGTCTATGGCATTCATTTTGCACTAATATTCTTCAGAAAAACATGGGTCTGTTTCCTTTCTCTCTGGAATAGGTTAACTAGCAGCATGAGATCTTGAGCCTTGAGTAGCAGCCAGTCTAGAAATTGGACAACTCTGTTTAAAACCAAGGAGTTGGAAACTGGAAACCATCCACCATTAAAGTTTCCCGAGATGTCATAGCAAATTACAAAGAAAAAGAATCCATGAAGAACTATGGCTATTGGCTATGTCATAAAAATACATAGTATTAAAAAAAGACATGGTATTCAAAAAACATATTAAAACCATGTTATTAAGCAAGACATAGTATTTAAAAATACAATGTTTAAAAAAGACATTGTATTTTAAAAAAGGCATATTTTAAAAGACGTATTTAAAAAAGGCATAATATTTTTAAAAAGACATGGTATTTAACACAATTTATGGTATTTAAGAAGATATTGTATTAAGAAAAAGCATTGTATTTTAAAAAAGATATAGTATTCAAAAAAGACATGGTATTTCAAAAAGACGTTTAAAAATATAGTATTAAAAAGACATTATTAAAAAAACATAGTATTTAAAAAAGATATTGTTTAAAAAAGACATGGTATTTTAAAAAACATTGTATTTTAAAAGACATTGAATTTAAAAGGCATAGTATTTAAAAAAGATATTGTGGTATAAAAGACATTGTATTGAGAAAGACATGATATTAAAAAAGACATGGTATTAAAAAAGATGTGGTATTTAAAAAATACATTGTATTTTAAAAAAGACAATTTCTAAATAATCTGATTATCCAACTTTGAATTTCATAATCTCTGATGTATCTCCTGAGTGTGTAAATTTTACAGTTTGTTTACTTATTCAATATTGTGACTTTGAGGTTACAATAAATTTATCTTGATTTATTCATCACCCTTCATACATTGATTTACCTTTTTTTTTAATCATTTCATTGCTAATGGAAGGTAAAAATGGTTCTCTAAGACGATTAAAAGAGAGTAGCTTTGTTTTGCAGGTGTTAAAATTAACAGGACATTTCTTGTTTTTTTTTTTTTTTTAGATTAGCTGCCATTTTACCCATTTTTGTAGATCATTTCAACCCAAACAAGGCAATAAAGCCTCTAAGACACAAAGGGTGGATGAATGTGAAAGAATAAGAAAAAGAGAAACATTATTAAGGAGTGAGAACAATAAAAGAACAGGAATCAAGATGACAGTAGATAACAATTGACATTGCATTTAAATTTTTGAAGATCAAAGTTGGCTGGAAAGCACTGAGCCAGAAAAGAGATCCACTGGCAAGAAGTACAAGAAAAAAAAACTGTTAGCATAGAACTTTTGGTTGCATTGAGTCAATTCAATTGTAAATTGATGAAGCTTTGATGCCAATCTAGTGCTGCGATTAAGTTCATAAAGTTGAGGTAACATAATGGAAAGTTCAGCTAAACAATGACCATTAAAGTATTTCTAGAAAAGGTACAGGGAAGCTCTATTGAGGCAATGCAAAAGTGACTGAAACTGAGACACCCACAGAACCAATAACATTATGGATTGGATTTTATCAAGAATCTCTAAATATATAGCAGGAGCACTGGACCATATGTGGCAGCAATATTTAGTACCTGGACAAATGGTAGACTTATAAATATTTAAGATAGATTCTGGAGATAAAAATTGTCTAGCATGAAACAGCGAACCAAATTTCCTAGCAGTAGACCTAGCAGTTGATTTAATATCGGCTTTCCACTTCATGTTAGCAGAGAAAGTTAATCCAAAAAGTGCAACGAGTCACTCTCCTGAAGGTTAGCATCAGCCATACTGACGGAAAGCAGCAAGGGGTCTCTCAGATGATTATTAGAGAGTAGTTTTGTTTTCAAGGCATTGAAATTAATAAGCCATTCCTTGCTCTAATTAACAGCAGGTTTTAGGTCATTTTTTGATCAGTTGCCAATTTGACCTTATAATGACAAAAATGATATAGATGACATGCTGAAAATCTTGTTTATATATAAATTTTATTGCAGGAATAGAACTTTTATTACAACTTACTTTACTAACTCCACAGGACAGGTATTCAGTTAGTTAATCTCTATCTATAAAAGGCAGGATATGTGTGTGTGTGTAATGAATGCATGGTCGCAATTTTTGATGGATTTGCACCAAAATTTACATGCACATGCTCCAAGTTAGCGGGAAGTCCAAGACTGACTTTGCATTTCCCAACTCCCATCGATAGTGGAAATAATCGATTTTTTCATGCTTCTACAGCAGTTTTCATGTAGTTTGCGGCCATTTTGTACTGGCCAGAGTGAGAGCCTATAGCTGGCTGCCACGAATAGGCGGGAAGTTTCTATTGGCCAGCGTGAGAGCCAACAGCTGACTGACACGAATGTTAACTAGCATGCTAGCATGCAAAAAAATTGATAGCTGCATTCGTCACAAGTGGGAAAAATTTAAATCTGCATGGCACTTTACTCCAGTTGGCTCATTCGCTTGCTTAAACTCAACATTGATTCTGATTCTGCAGAACTGGGTTGGGTGTGAAAAAGTATTTGTCGTTAACATTCTTTTTTCATTTGGTTTTTCAAGTTACGAGTCCTTTTTTAAAGCTGATCGTTTTGTGTTCATTTTGTTTAGTTCTTTTTTCGTAACAGATTTAATGTTTAGTATAGAGCTTAGAAAAAATTCACAGTGTGAGATAGGCAAGAAGTAAGGCATGTAGCAACATCAGCATGACAAAGGGCACTCCTTTAAAGACAAGGAAGGGCAAAAATATTTTAAGTCAAGTGATAGCGATTGCTGTATGAGTCGTACAATTTTTGAATCAAGCACGGGCAATGCTGGGCCATGCTGCTAGTTAGAAATAATTAACTCTCCCCTATTTGTTAATTATTGAAAACTAACTTTTTCATTTGATTGTGGGACAGGAAGCCTGCGGTCGTCTTCCAGTGTCAACAGTTATGGACCTTTGCTTGGAGTACAAACTACCTGTGGACTTTTGTGTACTGGGTTCTCTACTGCAAAATTGCAATCCTGGAGATGGGATGATCTACTACAAGAATTTTGTGGATTTTATAAACTGGACCAAACCTCTGCCCAGTTTTGATGAGTTTCCTGTCAAAGAAGGTAAATATTTCAGTTTTGGAAAGGGGAAAAAGTCCCTGTTTTATTTTTAATTCCTCAAATTTTTAAAGCCAGTTTGTTTAAGTATTATATATTCTTGAATATTCGGGCATTTTTAAGTGGGGCTGACAAAATTACCACAAACAACAATAATGACAATAAAAAAGAAAATAGAATAACATAATACAAGAAATGAACAATGCAAGATAAGGCAAGGTAAGTATAAGGCAAGGAAAGCAATTATAAGACAGTAAAAAAGAAACAGTGTTCATATGCAAAAGGGATACAGTCAAGTGGTTATAATCTTCTGACTTCAAGGTATGAAAGAAAAAGCTATGTGGGTAAGACAAACACTTGTTGATTTTTTATTGACTCAGAAGAAATCCCAGAATGCATTTTGTTTATAAATTTGAGGAGAGGGGATTTTTAGTAGACATTCACAGATTTTGGAACCAACCTCTGTCACTTGAGGCATTGTGGCAAATAGTTGTCAATAAAAATAAATCCTTCAAACTGACAGAATCTCAATATTTGTATCTGCCATTAGTAGCAGCTACAGGAAAAGTACAACTAAGTGTAACTGATAAGAATTGTTGATTTTTATTGATTAAGAAATCCCAGATTGCAGCTATACAATTTGTCTATAACTTTGGCGAGGAGGGATTTTTAGCTGATATTTCTCTAGATTGGATCCAACACATAATTTTTTTTTTTTTTTTTTTGGTGAGGGGGTCAGCCTTTTGAAAAATAAATATTTCTATTTTCTTTTTTGAGTTACAATAAATGGGATAATATTAAAAAATACATCAAAAATTGTATATTATAATTAAAAAAAATCTGGCTGGACTGGGTTCGCAATAAGGATAATGTTCAATAGAAATATGATAATGCTCTCTTGTCAGTAAGGCTTACTCTCATTGCTGGCCACTGACAATCCCTTTCAAAATGTGCTCTAAACGAAATAAATTCCCACCTTGTTGCAAATTTTAGAAATTCCAAATATCGAGAAAACAAATCGAGTTATCTCCCCTGAACCCTTGAAAAAAGGCGCAAATCAATAAGACATGAAGTCAAATAACTTTCTATATTTTTTCGGAGATTTATTTGTAGAAATATGCAAGTATCGTCTCTGATCATCTTCAGACGTCATTCGAGAGTTCAAATCCTAAAATTTAGATAGAGTGAGAAATACAAAAACAGTAAAATTAAAATAAAAGAAAACTTGTGCAGATGATAAAAAAAAAAATATGGCAAACTTGGACCTTTGTGCCTGCTAAAAAACCCAGTGTCAAAAAGGACGTTTTTTCTCTTGACATCGCTATTATTTTAATTACCTTCACTCCTCAGCAATATTTATTGTTTTAAAAAACGATGATTGGAATTTTCATAAAACTTAAATATATGAAAGTGAATTTATACATTTTCATTGTTCTTGATAACTGAAAACAAAAATAATAAACTAAACAGTATTTATTTATTAGATAGTTTATTCACACTACATTATTTATTTGAATGGTTGGCAAAACATCAGTTAATTGCCAATTGATTTGAAATTTATAAAATGGTAAATAATAAAGATTTATATTTGGTTCACATATTTTAATAATTTAGTAAATGTTTCTCAATTTATGAATAAAAAATATTCATATTTATTTCTTTATAAATTGGTAAATGATAAATATTGCATTGCATTAGTTTTTAGAATGTTGTAAATATAAAGTTATTTTTGTAAATAAACAATCTAATAAATAAATAAATAAATAGTATCTAATATTTTTTTGTTGTAAATTTTCAAGAACAAAAAAAAATGTATAAATTTACTTTCATCATATGTTTAGGTTTTATTACAATTCTAATCACCTCTTTTCCCCAAATTATCACTAAAACTTTCACTGTTACCTTTCCATTGATCAGGCAGGTCAAAGGTTACTTGTTACCAATCCCTCAAGAAGAAGTCAAATTTTGTAGAAATATGGGTTTAATTAACAAATGTTATAATTTTTTCCCAGAAAAGATGATTGGTTCTTTATTTATTTTCTCCTATTCAGATTGTTTAATGCATCATAGTGCTCATGGGGATGCTGTACAAGAGAGAATACTCCCAATCTGCATTTCCCTATTATAGGCATTAGTATATCTATGACATACTAACACCTTAATGCATAAATCACTAATTTGTCCCACAGAGGGAAATGGTAACCTATAAATACAACAAGCAATGTGAAAGGGATGAAAAGTGATAAGGTCTTACTTGTAATATTTCCCAGTGGGAAAACAGACAGGCTGGGGATATCTTCTATGTACCAGTTGAGATCATGAAATTTTTAGTTCTTGACACTTAAAATGCCCTGAAATGGCCTAATTGTAAACCATTGAATAGACAAATTTGTTTCTTTATTTTTATATTTGAATTTTCAATGATCCATCTTCTCTATCTTATAATTTTATTAGGTGTTTCCATGAATTTGGTTTACCTAGATGAGGATTCAATCTGATGTGAATAAGTTTAACATGTCTTTGTAAAATTGTTGGGATTTTTCTCAAAGCATTTTTAATTGAAAGTAACCTAATTTATTTTTATGTTTCCATTTTCATTAATTAAATTTTAATCTGATTTGGAGATGTTGTAAAGGAAGAGAAAAAAAGTAAATTATTAAAAATGCCTACAATGATCCTTCCATTTGGTCTTTGTTCTTACTCATGCTTTCTATATTATGCTGAAAAAGGATTGCTTTTAAGGCAAAAAAAATCAAATAATATTATTAAGAAAACCCATATTTCAAAATAGGATGGAATTGAAATTAAAAATATTTAATATTTTAAGCAAACTTTATATTTCTTTTAAATTTTTTTTGGCATTTTTTATTTTAAACGAATTTTTGATAAATTCCATCTTTTGTCAGTTAAAAATGATGTTTTAATTCATTCAAGAAATTGACTTTCTTTATATGTTTTATAAAAAAGATTAGTATCAAAAAAAAAATGCATTCCTCATCCAACCCCAATTATAAGAAATTTAATCTTTAACTTTTGTTTGTTATTTGAAAAGAATACATTGCAGTTTTTTGTATTCAAAGTTGTCCTTAAATCAAAAAAAGTCTTAATAAGCTGAAGATAAATCTACTTTTATATTTACAAAACAGGTTTTAAATTTTTAAAGTTTTCTTAACAAGACCTGGAACCAGATAGGGCCCAGGCAACCAACTTAGATGGGGAATAAAGATGAATTTAAAAATATAAATAAAAATGTGAAATTAATGTAATAACCAAATTAACCTTCTCTTATATATTTTCCCCAAATATTGAATAATGCTTTCATTGACAACTCAAGAAAAAAAATGGACTTTGTCTAAAGCATGAACTTTTTGGTTTCAGGGAAATTTTCTTTTTGATGACTTTTCAAATCCTTGTTGGATCCCTGTAAAAAAAAATTTTTATTTGGATCAACCAATTGTTTAGAGTTAATGGTTTTTAAATATCTTTTAAATTGGTATCTAACTTTATATATTTAAAAGTCATAAATTCTAAAAAAAAAAAAAATTTTTTTTTGTTATCACACTAAAAACATTATCTAAAAAAAAAAAAAATCTTATAATCTAAAAATATTTTCTGGCTTTAAATAACTTGCAAAGGATTGATAAGCCATAAAAAATAAATTAATCAATCTTAGCATGAGCCCAGTATATATACTGAGGTCACCACAGATCAACTCTTTTTAGAACAAACATTCCTCATTGATATTAAATTTGATTCAGTCCTCTGATATTTCCTGGTGTGAGTCAACATGTTACAGAATCAATAAAGAAAAATAGGCCAATTCTGAACATTTAATTTACTGGATATCGCAGCTGTTGCAAGCCTAGGAAAATGCATTTAGTGCTACTGTGGTTAACTGCTTTGTTTGTGAAAAATGGGGAAGAATTTTCTTTGAAACAATTTGTTGTAGATTAGCATTCATTATGTTTTCCTCTATCTGTAAAATTGATCAGAATTGAGAAAAGTTAAATTTTTATGATTTTAGAATAGGGGGTCCTGTTCATAATATAAATACAGTGTCCAATAGATCCCTGACCTATAAGTTATTTATATTTTGTTTATATTTACAACTCTCAACAGTCCTGGGTATGATGCTTAACTATATCCAGCAGCAAGGCTTCTGATCAAGAGGTTTTGAGGAGTGCGAAATCACCTCTTAATTGCTTGTGTTCCCCGGTTCACCTTGACCCAGGGTGATAGCACCTGTTAGGGTTCCAATGATGGGCAAATAGTTAACCCCCTAAACTGGGGTCAAAACATGATGAAAGTATAAAAATAGATTTTTATAATAAAAATACCAGCAATACATTTTCATTTTAAAAAAAAATTACCAACAATACATGTTTTGTAAAAAATGGAGAAAAAAAAAGAAAAATTACATGTTTTTTTATAAAAGAAATTACTACTACTCCCAAGAAAATTAAATTTCAGCATTAAATGACCCATAAGGTGTTGATATGTCGTTAAAGAAACAAATCAAATCAAAGACCCCAAGAAAATTAAATTTCAGCATTAAATGACCCACAAGGAATTGATATACCAAAAAAAATGTCAAGTTTGAAACAGTTCTTATGTCATTGATAGTGTCCTTTTTTACCAGTTTGTAATATTGCTCAGCTATCAATAATAAAACAAAGTACAGATAACTCTTTAAGAAGTCAGGGACTGATTTGACACTGTATTTATATTATGAACAGGACCCCCACTTCTAAAATTAAAAAAAATCAATATTTTTTGATTTTGACAAATGTCATGGGTAGATTGATGGGTTGATTGATTTGTTTTTTATGGCTTATCAACCTTTTGCAGGTTATTTAAAGCCAGAAAATAATTTTAGATTGTA